AAGGTTGCAGTGTGAGTCACTGAAATGATCAGAATGGTTTCCCAGAGCGGACTCAAGACCCAAGTGACAGAGCAGGGACGCCCAGCCCTGCGGGGAGGTTTCACACGTGTGCACTGCAAGTAACCCAGGAGCAGTGCGTTTCATGGACCTTCCTGCCAGGCCCTGCCTGAATACACAACCACCTGACAGCAAAGCCTTCCACAGAAAGAGCAAAAACAAAGTCAGTGACAACAAGTCATGAGAAAGCCTACATAACTAATGAAATCAGCTTAACTTTTATCAGGAAGGTAAGGTGTACCTGTGTCAAAAATGTAAAGACAGCCCGACCGGTGTGGCTTAGTGGTTGAGCTTCGACCCATGAACCAGGAGGTTATGGTTTGATTCCCTGTCAGGGCACATGTCCGAATTGTAGGCTCAATCCCGAGTTGGGGGTGAGCAGGAGGAAGCCAGTCAATGATTCTCATCATTGACATTTCTATCTTTCTCTCTCTCCCTTCCTCTCTGAAATCAATAAGAATATATTTTTAAAAGAAATGGAACGAGCACGTCTCCTCGCTACAGCTCAGCTGTCGGGCCACCCCCCTGCGGCTGCGGCGGCCCCGCCCCGGCAGCACCTGGCAGGACAGTTTTAGAGACAGTCTTCGATGAAGTCCTCCTGGCAGATGTTTGGACAGTGGCGATTCTGCTCATCTGACCGCAATGAAGAGGCCTGAGTTGAGTGTTACCTTAACTAAGCTCCACTGCTGGTCACTTACACAATTTTCAAAATGTGTGTTCGTGGGTGCAGATACCCTGGTCCTCGCAAATATTGATGATCTTTTTGAGAGAGAATTGTCGGCGGCTCCAGCCCCGGCTGGCCTGACTGCTGCAATCCCAGAGTCTTTGTGTGTCAGCCTTCAGTGTAAGCGTACAGCCAGCTGCCGTGGCTGCTTCCGAGCAGGTAGTTTTGATGGTGGGGACCAAGGTTTCCTGGACATGTGTTTTAGCAGCTGGGCAACATCAGCTACCAGACAACACCTGCCATGTATTTACAACCTAAGCAGCATTTCTGTATGCTCCTACCTCCCAGCATTTAAAGCATTTGGTGCAAATGCCAAAGTTGTGCATTTCCTGGGACGAATCAAACCGTGGAATTATACCTATGATCCTAAAACAAAAAGTGTCAAAAGTGAGTCCCATGATCCCACCATGACTCACCCTGAGTCCCTCAGCCTGGGGTGGGGCACCTTCACCACCAGCGCTCACCCTGCCGCAGCGCCCGGCCTCATCTCAGACCCCCACCCACACCTCAGGGTGGAAGATGTCTGGGAGCCGTGTCACATTGTCCCCTGGGGAGACCCCGGCTACGGCACAGCCTTTTGTATCCTCAGAAAAACGGAAGGAGAGGTGGGAACGGGGCCAGGCTGATGACATGGGAGCAGATTCCTTTGCCAACATCAAGAGGAAACTTGCCGCTTACCTCCAATAGAAACACTGCACTTGTCCATGGACACATCCCCTTCACGGGCACTTTTTCCTCATACTGATCATCTAGAGCTGGCTCTGTTACAGTTGCTAGAGGCTTTCACTACAATTCATCAGATACAGGGTTTTTGTAGGACAAGTGATAACTGAGCAGAAGTGATGAGGTAGCAGTTGTTATATGGACAACGGCCTGTTTTTTAAACCTGGGCTTATTCAGCTGATGCTTCAGAAATTCTGTGATGCTGATTGCCAATGTACGTGGTGAGGGAAACTCAAACTATTAAGATGGCTGTATCGGCTCTTAAAATGGGCGGAGCCAGGGCCAGACCAGTCCCCCTGCAGAGTGGGACTGGTCTCTGTCTCTGGCTTGCGTTGCGCCTTCGTAGGCACGCATTTCAGAATTGTCCAGGGCTGCCCGCGTGATCACGGTTCTGCTTTGAGGGGAAGACAGCCTGTGGCACTGCCAAGGGATTCGTCAACTCATCAACACACGGCATTAGCCACCTCTTCCCTCGCTTTAGTGTCTGAAGATGCCCCAGTTTTCCGTGTACAGGAGGCAGCATGCTAAATGCTTCTGTTCAGTTCTGTATTTCTGAAAACAGCAGTAGCACCTTATATGAAAAATAGACTTTTCACCATGAAAAAAGAAAAGGAAAGAAATGGAACAACATAACAGAGAGAGAGAGAGAGAGAGAGAGAGAGAGAGCATCCTGGCCTGTGCTGCTAAGTGGTTAGAGCATAGACCTACACACTGAAGGGTCTTGGGTTCAATTCCCGGTGAAGGGCATGTTTCTGGGTTGCAGGTTCGAACCCTGGTCCCCGTGGGGGCGTATGCAGGAGGCAACCAATCCATGTGTCTCTCACATTGATGCTCTCTCTCTCCCCTTTTCTCCCTCTTTTACTCTCTCTAAAAATCAGTGGAAAAAAATATCCTTGGGTGAGGATTAACAAACAAATGTAACAACTGACCCTTAATTCATGGGTCTATAGGTGACACGCACTGAAAATGAAGCTGGCATCTATATACTAGTATATAAAAGGCTAATATGCAAAGTGTCCCCTCAGGAGTTCGACCGGGAGACCAGGAGTTCAATCACTCGCTATGACGTGCATTGACCACCAGGGGGCGGCACAGAACATGGTGGGCAACCAGCAGCGGTGGCGGGGCGCTGAGGGAGCGAGGGAAAGAGGAGGCGGGGAGGTGGGGAGGCAGGGAACCTGATTAGCCCTGATCGCTGGCCAGGCCTAGGGACCCTACCCGTGTACGAATTTTGTGCACCGGGCCTCTAGTCTCTACATAACAGAGAAGTACTGAAAACAGAGAGAAAGAATGGAAAGGCTCATGAAAATCAATGCTGCCCTGAGCTGAGCCAGGAGGCGTGCCTCTACCTCACTCAGACGCGGGAGCTGACCTGGGGCCACGCCGGAACAAAGGTTTGCAGGGGCTTTGGTAATCGAAAAAGAGATGGATAGCCATAACGAAAGCCACGCCATTAATAAAAAAGGGATCAATGACACAGACAAATATGCTTACAGATCATTGCCTCAACTTGAGGCCCGAAGAGGCCAGACGCATCACTGCTTTCACATTTATTTATAGATCAGAGTCTTCATGTGATAAACAGTTGGTTTGTAAACTAAAAACACTGAAAAATCACAACATATAACTATGACTTTCTGTCATGTGGCGGACAAGGTCAGGTGCTGAGCTTGCCCGACAGCTCCTGCCTAACAAACAACAGGCCTGGGCCCTGGGGACAAGCTCAGCCAAGGGCGAGGGTCCCTGGAAGCCGCTCCCACGGAAACGTCCTTCTCGGGTCTCACCGGACGGACGGGCTGCAGCAGGTGAGCGCTGTCCCAGCTCCGCCGGGACCTTGCAGCTCTTGGTGCGGTGGCTCTGAAGTTCATTGCTGCCCAACGTGCTCTCAGTCATTTGCTCCCTTGTTCATCCACCCTTGGAATGCCTACAGTGAGCCAGGCTTTGGGCCCTGGGCCCTGGGGCAGGAATGTGCTGCAGGACGCAGCAGGGACAGACTCCGGGCTCCTCCCTTGGTGAGGCAGATGCAGGGTCTGGCTGGGAGCCGGTGATCCCAGACTGCCCAGCAGAGAAGCGTCACTGGGAGTAGGCTGACTGCCCGGGACGCAGGGGACTGTCTCAGCAAAGGAGGGCTGGTCAAGCAGAAGAGGGGAGAGTGTTCCAGCCAGGGGGTGGGCAGAGGACAGTCCGGGAGCATGAGGCTCGTCTCTCCTGCCCACCCGGGTCCTGCAGAGGGGGACAGGCTGAAACTGTAGGAAACAGGCCTCTGTGGTCCATCCTCAGCATAGTTAACTTTTCATGGAGAAAACTAACAGCATGCTGCCAGTCGGTTACCGAATTTCCCCCGGGGCAAACAGGATGTAGGGAGGAGGTGGGAGGGTATAAGAACAAAGAACTGTGTACATGACCAGCAGCACATCTTCCAGAAAGATCTGCCACAACTAGACAAAGGGAGGTGGAGGCAACTAGAAAAGGCCTCAGCCCATTTTTTAAAATAACCCAATAGGAGACAATAAGACCTAGGTGATGTCCTGGGGGGAGAGAGGGACTGTTAACCCGATAGTACTCAGCCAGTGAGGACCCGGGGAGGGATTCTTGCACATTAGGAATAAATAGCCTGTGATCGCTGCTCCCTGTGCCTGTGCAACTAGACACCGGATCTTGCAAGACCACACTCAAAGTCTCGTTTTTGCCACTTCGTGTCTCTCACAGAAATGAAGGTGAAGGGGTCTTGTGTCCCAGACAAGGCTGCATACTTGCCTCGGCAGGTACAGGGAGCCACGGAAGAGTCTCAGGCCGGGGAATGGTGAGGAGAGGCCTGGGTTAGAGTGAGCCCTCTGCTGGCGATGGGCTGGAGAGTACCCATGGGAGGGGCTGCCCAGGACTACGGTCAGAAGGGTGGGCCAAGAGACTGGGTAGCACCCAGGGTCTACCCAAATGTTCTCCATGAGGGTTGATGGGATGGATGTGTGGGAAGACACCTGGGTTGTGGCTCGGTGGCTGGCTGGTTGTGGGAACCACGCCAGAGTCGTCGGACAGTCAAGGGAACTCAGAGGGTAAAAGGCCTTGTTGATAGTATGCCAACAGCCAAGGCCACTCTGAACATGGGAATCTTAATCAGAATGTTCAAAGCTAAGATACCGTAAGCAGCTGCAAGGCCACAGTGACATCACGGTGCACTGTGCTCTTCTATAATCCAA